ATGTAGAATTTTTTAGGATACTTCAATTGTAAAACTGTTTACATAAACTACAGAGAAATTACATTTAGCCATAGCCTTTATACAAGGCTTCTTTCACAGAACAAAATGTTGAAGTACTTTCTCTTGTGTTACTGTAAAGTTGAAATATCTTAATTCTGAAATAAAGCAATTCAATACTTGGCCCTAATGGAATCGAATAAAGTGCCACAATTATGGTTTAACAATATCTCAATATTTGCTTGAAAGATTAAATTAAGACCAAATAGAACGCTATGCTAAACTGTAAAAAAAAATAAAAATAAGAGTGGATTATTAACGTAAATCAAAGATTATTGGCAAATTGTTTTGTGAGTATAAAAACTGTAAAATATTCTTCTAATAGGGAGCACTTGCTGTAAGATAATGCTTGGGAGAAAACAAATATATATAAATATATATGTAATGAAAAATGACTGTTTCCGGAGGGGGAACACTAAACACTATTCTACATTTACATTAAATGGGAAAACATTGGGTTGAAATTAGGAAATAGCTAGCAGGAGATATTCTTGTGAATTGAATTGCATGCATTAATACAAATTTAATAATGAACCCTTTGGCAGAAAGCTATGGAAATAATTTGTTTCATTGAAAATTGCCATTCAGGCCTTGCTGCTTAATCGGAACATAATTAGCAGATACAACTGTACATGTCAAGTATTACATTTTGATCTAAGAGTTAAATACAAGTATTAGCTCATGCTTTAAAAAACTGAACATAATTATTGAGGAGGTGACATCATTAATCTGATTCTGAATTGCATTTGGGCAAAAAGTGAAACGAAATTGTTTCACTATTTCTCACATAGATTTTGCTAATGATTTCTTATTTATACATGATTAGTTTATTTTTCTTTATGTGTTTCTCTTTATCACAGAACAGTGATATTTGACTTAGTGGGAACACTCTGCTCTTTGGGGACTTTCAGGGACTTTGAACTCACAGTTGTAGCCTGACCCTCCAATACAGTCCTGGGGATGTGCTGCAGTACTGGAAGTGCCATCCTCAATCACACGAAGAAATTCTTCTTGGTTCCAGTTACCTCTATAAGCCACCTTCTGCACTGTTACTTGTGTGTAGTTCATTCTGAAACGTGCTTATCCACAGCTAAAAATGAGTTAACATCCATATACTAAACTGTAAGCTACAAAAAGTTTCCATTTTTGGTTAGCAATTTTTCCACCATTTTTAGACACCATTTTTAGACAGATATTAAAAATTGGAGGAAATGGTTTTACTCATGTATTTCTTTCTAAGGATGTTTGTGCTGGATAATTTATGCAATTCTATACACCCAGTTTGAGAATAAATTTCTCTCAAGTCGTATAGCAAAGATTAGCTGCAGAATAAAGCTTTTTGTGGATTGCCCTGAATAAAGTGCCTTGGTCCCAATTTCAGAGTGGAGGTGGGATGATGACAAAATGCACGGTCAAAGAGGAAGGTCTTGAGATGGGCCTTGAAGGAGGCAAAGGAGGGGGCGAGGCACACAGACTTTAGGATGCAGTTCCAGAGGATGGAGGCGGAGAGGCTGAAAGCCCGACCACCGACGGTAGGGTGGGCAGGGCAGGGAATATGGAGCAGGTCAATGCCTGATGAGTGGAGAGCTTACCAGGTTGGTAAGGTTAACCATTACTATTTGTTATTTAACTAATACATTGGCCAATTGTCCTTTTATTGTCTGGGACCTGAATTTGAATGCTGACAGGATAAAATACACTGGTCAAAACACAAAATACTGTAGATGCTGGAATCTGAAACAAAAACAGAGAGAGCAGGGAAAACTCAGCAGGTCAGGCAGCATCTATGGAGAAAGGAAAGTGAGTCAACGTTTCGGGTCCACTACCCTTCGTATTTTCCCAGCTCTCTGTTTTTGTTTAAAATACATTGGTTGTTGACTTTAAAGGTCCTATTTGAATTTAGTTTGAGCAGTCAGACCCCTGTCCCAGTTGGTACAAGAACACAGCTAAGAGGACGCTAACTCAGTGCAATTTGTCAATCTCATTCCGTAAGGTTCATTGGGATAAGGAGTGTAAACCTTTCCACTGACTAATTTCCCTGCTCCTCTACATTAAAGATCCATGCTACCAGCCTCCCCATTCTCCCTCTGCCCACCCCCCCACCCCAACAAGATTTACTCATCCCAGTTTACTATCTGCAAATTTCATGGTTCAATGGTCCCAGCTTTCCTGTTTCCCCCACATCAAGGCTCACTAATTGCACCTCCTCTTTCATTCCAGGACTCAATTTTCCAGCCTCCCTACCTAGATGCCGCCTCTCAAATTGAATCTCAGTGCTTTGAAAAGTAACCATTCCATTATTATTATTGTTGTTGTTTCCTGGCATGCCTCAAACAGTCACAGATATTTTGATAGAATTTTCTGCTGCCTGTGTTTTCAGGATTATTTCCCAAGACACCCAAAGTACTTGCTTCTTGCTACAAGCTTTTCATTACATTTCCTTGAGTTCCTTCTGAAAAAGACTCCCGAAACATAACTTAGACCCTGTTGTATGTTTGTCTGGCATTGGAGAGTGCATTGGTTGTTATATCCAATCAAAGGTCCACTCTCTGAAGAACATTGATGAGCCTTACGGGTTCCCATTTACTAACTGTACAGTTATTAATAATGATGCAGAATTGACCTACAATTCATCCCTTTAAGAGTAATGGTCAATTTGAGAAGAACCAATGAAATAGAAATAGGAAGTGTAAAAGGGACACTGGAAAGAGAGCTAGTGTGTATGGGTTATGGTTGGAGTATTGGATTGTTGTGGGTTGATAATAAAGAAACTACCTAACACATATGCTTTGAATTGAGAATCAATACAATCCACACTCCCATTCTCTTTAGTTCTGTTGTTAGCATTTACCATAGATTTTGTGTACATCATGTACATGGTTTGCAGAATAAAATCCAGGATACCTAAAATACCCACAAATGTCCCTGAGAGGGAAACAATTATTACCTCAAATTGTTTTAATTACTTTGCACCTTTGCAGACAATATCAGAGACCAAACTGAACGCAAACCTTCAAATAGTCATTTGGGTTAGCAGCAACAACAGTAAGAGAACAGTACTTTATAACTGTCAGTTTAGCTCAGTGGGATAGAAATATAACTACAAATAATGTCTGAAGTGTGTTTGATGTACATTGTGGTTTCCTTTCCATCTCTGTGATATATATCTTCAACAAGGAAACAAGACATTTTGGATACGTTTCATTTCTTTTTCCCCCATTTTTCCTTTTAGAAGAAATGGGGGGGAGGTGGTGGGGGAGGAGGCGGCTTGGTGGGGGGGTAGAAGCTGCAGATATTTATTTTGTAAAGTGTATGAAGCAAATAAAACGTTAAAATGAATAATAGAGAAATCCTTGAACTTCTTAAAAGAATACTTTCTTCCCCTTTTCCGCTCCCCCAGGTTTCTGTGAAGAATGGCAAGGTTTTCTTTTGAAATGATAGATGAAGTTATTTATGTGTTACTTCAATTTCTGCTAATCAAACATGCATTTGTTAAATAAAGAAATATATCTCTTGTTTAAAACAATATGATTTGGGAAATTGACTTATGATGAAAAGCTTTAAGTTTAACGCTAGATTGTAATTCACAGATCAGGACTGTATGGCAGAAGGTTGTAGAAATCAAGTTTGTCATAATGATTCATCACGTAACTAGTTTCCTCAGTCAAAGGCTGGTTGTTTTTTATGTGGATTTTGATGAGAGGATAAGAATGCCAGGGGCCAATCCAGTCTATCTCTCCCCCTCTCTCTCCCGCACATACACACAGCTCCAAGTGGATGATAATAATATAATAATCTTTACATTTGCCGTAACGCTTTATCACAAAGTCAAAACATCTCAAAGAGCTTCCTTGGATTAACTGTGACACTTTGTAGTGACAGTGTATTTGTAGGCAAAATCAGCAGCCAATTTGTGCATAGCAATGTCCCACAAAAAGCATTTTTTTAATCTGGCGGATTGAAGGCCAAGAACCTGGGAAAAACACCCCTCTCGTTTTGAATAGTGCCTTGTCTGCCTGAAAAAGTAGCTCAAGAACAGGATAGAAATAACCCCAGAGAAGATTGCTCACTACCCTTTCAATAAGTAATGACATTGGAGACGAAGTAATGAAGGGGATGAAACAAATTAAAATATATAGTTGAAGGAATTAAGCAATTTTATTGGTTATTTTCCTTCTAGTAGGAAATTTCCACCACTTTCATTTGGCATATCCTTCTCTTGCTTGAATTTCTGCCCTCCATTGTAGTTATTTGAATACAGACTATTTTTTTGCATGGTATCTAAAGCCACAAAGGTATCTGTATGAAGGTATCATTTATGAAAGCATTTTTTCTTCTTGGAGGCAATTTAATATATGATTGTAAACCAACACATACCACATCCTCGTTTTTATCATGGGAATGGATAATCATTTGGGTCAACCCAACAAGTGTTTCATAAATTTCTGAGTGCAAATATATAATTACAATAATTGCTATGTTTAAGTATAATTAGATCACTGACTACAATACTGGAAGTGGATATGTTTCAAAAACACAATATAAAATGAGTGGTCTTATAGTTAATTCGTGAAATGATATGATCCACTGTGCTGCTGTTATAATTATATAAACACAAGTTATTATTACAACTGCATTAATTAAAGCTGGAGCCTCAAGTCAAACACAGTCAAACCAGCAGAATGTAGTAGTAGCTTACATTTATTGTAAATGTCCTGTAAAGGAATACTACCAGACTGAGGAAATGAAAGCACAGGCGAAGCAGTCATGTAAATCCTGATTGTTTCCCTTTGCACTATTCTGGGCACAAAAAGATCCATTTCAGATTGAAAGTGTTAAAACGGTTCGTCGTTTTCGTCCCCCACCCCCACCCCACCACCCCCCCACCACCACCTCCCCTCCCCCGCCCCCACTGAACTTGTGAAGATGAAAGATAATGAGTAATGGTTGAGGGAAAAGCACTAATGGACAGAAGAGAGGACATTATTCTGTCCTGGATAATTCATTCAATGAGATCATCATGCATTGGTGACACCGTGTATGTCATGAGTTGGATGGTGGTAGCAGCTGTAACTAAAGATATTGGAGATCATATTATGGTAAGAAGGGAAGGAGCTAGGTAATTCAGCTCAACATTAAATTAAATTAACGTGACATATTAGCCTAGTTACTATAGTAGTGCTGGACTCTTTGGATTCAACTCAACTGATATTCAAAAACTGTTTTCACTGAGTGAGTTTTCAATCACTGAGATTGGTTTCCCTGACTGAGTTTTTAGGCAGGTTATTTTATCCAAAATCTTTGAGTCAAATCCTTAATGATACTTATTAATCCTTATACGGTACATCACTATTTCTACAACAAACACATAGTATTGATATATGTTCCTTACTCAGGGAAAGATTAATTTCTAATAATGTACAATAAACAACCTAAATAAAACTGTTCCACTATCTATGCATTCTGATGTAACTGAGCCACATTTGTGCAGTATTCTGTTGTAATCAAATTGGTATCAAGTGGAGTCCTGTAGCTCAGCGGTTAGAGCACTTGCCTTGCAAGCGAGAGACCTGGGTTTGATTCCTGGCAGGGCGAAACCTTGGACAAGTTTCCGTACTCCACACGCCTGATAATAATTCCTCAAGAAAAAAAAACAATAATAATTTGGTCACTCATTCCATGGCTGTTTGTGGGACACTGCTGTGCATAATTGGCTGCTGCGTTTCGCGAACAAATATACAGTTATATCACTTTACAGTATATTCTGTGAAACGCTTTGAGATGTCTCGAAGACATGAAAAGCGCTATATCAAATACAAGGATTATTATTATTATTAAGTCTCAGACTTGCTCCTTACATAATGTGAAATAGTACTTGTGAAGCACTGAATGGGATAAACTTATTTTTTATATCCAAATACAGTATGTTAAATACATTGTTTTTTCATTGCCATGACTTATATACACTCGGATTCAACTGTATGTTCTATGATCTTACCTTTCACTAAGCATTCTGCTGACATGCTAAGGGGTTGCATTCAGCTGTGTTCATGGCCATATAATCCAGCCACTGATGTCAAGCTCTGTAGGATAGATCCGATCTTCATTTTGCTGCACAATAGGAGCCATTTTTTAAAAAGTGTAAACTATCTACATGCTGTACAGTTGATTTAGCACAACAGCTCAGAAATGTGATTTGAAACATTGGCAGGTAAAATCATAAGGTAGCCAGTCTCAAGAAGAAAACAGCATGAGAGCAATCTACCAAAAAGAATTCCTAGCATACAATATGTACAATTGTAAAGGCTCACAGTCAGTTTACACACAATGTTGCTGTAATTCACTTTCTCATTTATGACAAGAAAATTCATTTTGAATTTCAGTGCTGTTTACTTTGTTTCCAGCCAATTTTAAAATGTAGTGATGACACTTTAAAAAAACCTTATTTTTTTCTTTGATACTAAAGATTTTTTTTAAAAAGCATAAAGGGGTTACTTTTCACATATCTAAAATATTGTGTTTGCAACATTGCTGCTTATTTTACAATTACTCATTCCTTCACTTCTGCCTTCTAACATTTTAAAAGCATCAAAACAAATTATAGTTTAAAAACAGCTGGGAAGCTTCTGTTGGGTTGTCTGACGTAATCAGTTTATGTAACCCTGTTGCAGATTGACACATAAATCATCTCTTATCCACAACAGATTTAGATTTTCATCTTTGCCTTCAACTTGCTCTATTTTGTAGAATTGGTGTCCTCGAAAGCGCTGAAGTTGGCAAATTACTTTGAACTTAAAGGGGTATTGTATTCATGAGCGTGTTGTTGCCTTTGTTTGTTTGTTTGTTTGTTTGGGAAGGGAAAAGAGCCAGAAGAGGTTTGCATCAATTTTCATCACACTGACACTACACATGTGTTTTGATACGATTTTTGTCTGTTCTTAAATTTAGAAAGGAATTTTAAAAGGTTTTCCAAAACTGTTTGATAGTGATGGTGTGCCCTTTAAATGTAATTCCAGATGAGTACATATTTGCTCATAAATATCTGAAGTTAATCACAACTTCTTTTTATGGTCTAACAAGCACCACAAGGTCAAGGGAAGTTCTACCAGAATATCAGAACCTCAAATGAACTTCCAATTTCAGAATAAAATAGTATTTGAAGCAACAAATCACTCAGGTCAACGTTACTGTCTGTAAACAAGACAGAGTTAACATAAAAGATGTTTTAGAAAGCAAGTCTGTGGTTTAGATTGAGGAAGTGTCCAGCTAGACTCCATGATGTCCAAATAGCACTGGAGGACACCCACATGGAGAAATTCAGCTGCTTCCAACGCTCAGGGCCAAATATGCTCAAGGATAGAGGGAAGCTTTTTTTTTGCAGTAAATCTTTGTGATATGCTTGATGAACCCAATTTGTATGTTACAACCTAAATTCTACTTAGTTCTTCATGGCATATTTTTTCTTCAGCAAAAAAAAAGTTTTGCAAGCATTCCAGATTGAAGGTAAAAGGGAAATACGAAGAGGGTGAAGATTACATTGGTCTCATAGATACTTATCAATGCCATCAACCCAACACCAATTTGTGCTTAGACACTGGCATGTGTCAGCTTGGCTCAGTTGAATGTCACCTTGGCTCAGTCGCTAGCACTATTGCTTCCAAGTCAAAAGGTTGTAGGTTCAAGCCCCACATTAGTACTTTGAGCTAATAGTTTAGGCTGAAACTTCAGTTGCTGTGCTAGGGACTGCTGCACTGTCAGAGGGGCTGTCCTTCTGTTAAACTGAGATCACATCTGCATGTTCAGATTCATTTTAAAGATCCCTTGGCATTATTAGAAAAGACAAAACAACTTTCTCCTGGTATCCTGGCGAACAATCTCCCAGATAAAATTGGCTATTCACTTCATGGCTGTTTGTGGGATAGCCACTGGCTGCCAAATATACAGACACTACATTTTACAATAATTTCCTGTGAAGTGCTTTGACATATCTCAACCACATGATATCAAATGCAAGCATTATTATTATTATTATTATTATGCTCACTTATGAGCGTTGGACATGGGAGCAGCCAGCAGATTTACATTTTTTGACATTTGGTGACGATTTCTTGAAAAATAGAGAAGACAGTGCTTGTGATGGATTTTCCTCTCCTTGTAAAAAAAGGACTGAAATGGGAGGGAAGCATCCACATCTCCCAGATCAATACTTCCTCTCTGAAGTCATCAAAGCAAAGGTGCAATGTTATCACTTATCAAAGAGGATATTTATTTTTTTAAAAGAACAAAACAGCCTCCTGTGCTAGATGAGGCAAGAGTCTAGAAATACATTTTAAATCTCCTTTGGGGTCATTTTTCTTAAAGAAACAAAGAAAAGTGACTGTTTCTGTGCTGTACGTTACTGGGCTGCTTCACATCCCCCTGCCTGCCCCACCATCAGTGGTCAGTCACCCTTCAGCACTTTATGTCCCCACTCTCTAGAGCTCCAACCCAGAGGTGCTTCGCCTCAGCACTTCTCTCGCCTCCTTCAAGGTCCGTCTTAAGACCTTCCTCAGTCATCCTCCAACATCCACCCCTCCTTGGCTCCCCAAACTCTGGAATTCAACCCCAATTCAGATGTAAACCCTCAAACTTCTAGCACCTTGGAACAAACAAATTGCATTTATATTGCACCTTTCCTCTTAACATGAAAGGTGCAATATAAATGCAATTTGTTTGTTGTTGTTGTTGTTTACTAGTTTCAACACAATTAAACATCATTTTCTGTTCGGATGATATTTTGCTTTGTTTGTTCACCTAACTAACCTCAAATACCAATAGAGAGGACAGGTGATCACTACTTGTATTGGTATACTGTAGATATACTGCTAAAAAAAATAACAAAATCAAAACCCTTTTAAACCTTTTAAGAAACCTCTAAGTTTTTACCTTCTCTTGTAATGTTCAGTGGGATTTACAATGAACAGATTCCTGCTCTTTTTATTTGAAACTTGATAATAGCAATCCTTAATGCTATAGATGCCTTTCATGCCAGGAAAACGTCCCAAAGTGCTTCACAGGATATACTTTAAAATGTAATGACTGTTTTTTGTGGATGAACTCTCAGCCTCTGATCTGTCACTTTGAACTATGGCCTTGTTCTATATTTGCTCCAGCCTCCTGTTTCAGTCTCAGCCTTTAATTCCAACCTGTTTCAGCTTTGACTCCAGGATCCAGTGTTTAGGAGAGGGAAAAATGAGAAAGGTATTGAGCAAAGAACAGAATAGATCATTATGACAGATTGGTTGAGTGATCGATTTGTCAGTATCAATGAATCCCTGATTCTGTCAGTTTTAATAATCAAAAGTACACCAGCTCAAATTGATCATTGCAACCAAATTCCAGTATATTGTGTTTCTATTTTTCACTCATTGTTTCAGTATTAGTTTTTACAGATATCTAATGGGATTGACCGATGGGATCTCTTGGTTTACTGGCTATAAAACCTCTAGGTGAAACAAATCTGTGCAGGCTCGACCCAGTTCCCAGTGAGTGTGAACCTACATTAGCAGGCAGTCAGAAAACCACACAAATCGATTATGTTGGATATGGAAATAGCTCTGTTCTGTATCTAACTTGGGAGCACTTGGTCTTGACACAACAGACCCTTTGGCTAAGATAATTATAGTTTTAACCATGCTTGGTTACAGATAGCAATCATGTTGAGATGATAGCTGCATTGCTATTGATTTGGAATTGGTGCGTTGGCCATTTCCTGGCCAGGTGGCAGGATGGTTGGCTTGAGGATCTGTGTCACACTTATGGAAGCAATGCTTTTGCTGTAGTGGAACTGGATTGAGACACTGAATTATTTACTTGGATAGTTATCAAATTGGATTAAGCTGAATTGATGTGAGAGATTTTAAAAAAGATTGACATTGCAATAAATAAAAACTTTCCATGCCCTGGTGTACAACAAATGCTGGGAATCCTGTACTTTTTTTTACCATTGTCACCAGATTTTTCTTTAGATATGAGTGGCAGTATAATAGGATATAGCTGAAGAGAACTATAATGAGGACCAGTGTCTCCCAAATGTAATGTTCAGAGCACTAACTGTTTGGGGAGTTTAGTGCTGCAGAA